GAATTAGAGAAGATTTAGGATAAGTGATATTGGTAAAATTAATAACTAGTTAGAAATATATAATTCAAATTTAATACCATCCCATACTGAAAATTAAATCTCAAGTGGTCTAGAATCCAGTGGAAAAAATTGATAAAATATGGAAAAAATGTAAAGAATATAGCTTTTAACATTGGGATAAAGAAAATCTGCCTTAGTAAAACAGAAAACCTAGAAGTTAAAAATAAAAATTTCAAGGGCTGCCAGAAAGGCTCAAGGGGTACAGTACCTGCTTAGCAAGTTCAAGGCCCTGAGTTCAAATCCCAGAACAGCCAAAACAAATAAATATGTGTATGAATATAAATAAATATAAAAACCTCAAAAGACTTATCTCCATAACATTTGAAGACTTCTATGAAATAATAACTAAAATAGGCTAATAATTTAAAAACAGTCCATCAAGAAAAATTAAGAGGCCAAAATTCATTTAAAAACTCATAATTTAAATATAAATCAGGAAAATGCAGACTACAATGAGATATCATCTTGATCTCATTAGACTCGCAAAAATTTAAAACATTTTTGGAATGTACAATGGTTGAAGAAAGGCATGGAATAATACTCATGTTTGTGTCCTATTATGAGAAATCACATTGGTTTAATCTTTTAGGAAGAAATTTATCTTCCTAGATAGCTGACAAAATGCTGACTGTGCGTAATCTTTCACCAGTGTTCTGCACCCATAAATTCTATCCTTTAAAAGTATTCTTATGTGTACGTACAATATGTATAAGGGTACTTGCTTGAGTTATATAACTATTTGAATATCTAGGCGCACAAAAATATCTTGAAAGACATACATTAAACTGTTTATAGGAACTAACTTCAGAAAGAAAAGTAGGGTGCGCATTCTAATCTATGTACATCATGGTGTTTGAAGTTTTACTACAAATATTTGTTCTATACTTTTTATCAAATACAGAATTTTATACTGTGTAATTTCTAAATAGAGATAAGTGAGGAGGTTGAACTAAATGGTTTCTGAAATCTATGACTTTAGCTCTAAACACTGTGACTTAAGCCTCATTTAGAAATAAATTAGAAATGTAAATCATTAAATTTCTAACCATACCATATGTTCTGTTAGGAAAAAAAAAGCAAAGGAGAAAGTTATTACAATTCTTACAATATGAACTTACAATATTTGATTCCAGGTTGTATAGATTGATTTTTGCATTGATCCTCACAGCATTTTGTTTGTTTGCTTGCTTGCTTGCTGAGTCAGGGTCTCACTATGTAGCTCAGGATGGCCTCAGTCTTACTATCCCTCTATCTCAGCCTCCCTGGTGCTGGGATTGCAAGCATGCAGGTTGGCTCATATAATTTTATATTAATAGTAGATTATCTGAGGCTCTAAGAGGGTGAGTGGTCTGACCAAGATCACTGGCCCAGGAAGAGATGGAGCCTGGGTCACACTTGAATCAGTGTATGGGGAATGTGATTGCTGCTCTGTATAAACAGATGTTTCCAAGTTTCTCAAGTAGGTGGAGAAATTCTGCATTATTTATGAGCTTTGGGGAAGAAAATAGGAGGCCATGGTGTGAGAGCAACTGTCCAGCAGAAAAATACTCATAACATGCATGAGGTAAAGTTGCTGAGATGTGGTTGGTGTTCATTCTGCACCAGGCACTGCACTTCTGTCTCACATAATCCTCACAGCAGCCCTAAGGAGGAGATATCATTACTGTTCACATCTTGCAAATTTGGATACTGAGGCACATGGACCTTGAGAAAATATCCTAAAGCGATGTATGTAGCAAGTAACAGAGCTTTTTGCCACATTTTACAACCTATCTTCTTGATTACTATATATGCTGAATAATGTTTAAAGGGTTTGCTGCAGCTAGACTTTGAGAAGGAAGAACTGTAAACTAAGATGTTAGGTGATTAAGCAACTCCTTGGCCAATGCTAGCAATCTGAGACAAAGTTGTGTATTTCCTTGAATATGGAACGATTTGCAGTGTTCAACACTTGGAGTGCAGTATGTGAAGAACCATGACCCGTTGATTGATGTAGAATTTGTAGTCTAAGCATGTGCAAGCATGTCTGACAACCCAAGGGCAGATAAACCACTCCCATTTGCCTGAAGACCCTAGAGTCTCCAGGAAGGTAACTCATATTAAGAGGGGTGGCGGGTGAGTTTGACTCAACACAAATATTTTGGTCATTAGACTGTATAGCAATTATGACAAGATCATTGGCTGTGACTCAGTTTGGTTTCATGGTACAATCCCCATGAACCTCAAATTGTGGTTTATTATTCCTGGACATATATCCAAAGGAATGTGCTCCAAGACATGATAAGAGCCACTTGCACACCCATGTTTATTGCACTACTATCCACGATAGCCAAGCTTTGGAAACAGCCCAGATGTCCTACGACTGATGAATGGATTAAGAAAATGTGGTATATATACACAGTGGAGTTTTAGTCAACCATAAAAATGAATGGAATTATATTGTTTGCAGGTAAATGGATGAAACAAAATTGTATTTCTGGGTCTGTCTGAAGGGATTATGGGAGACAAGAGAAGGAAAGAAAATGTTAGAGAATGGAAAATATTGAAATGACCCACCCATATCTGAATATAATATAATGTGCTGCTCTGTAAATTGTTGAAGATTAGGGAAGCATGGTGATAGAGAATGAGTAGATAATGGGGGGAGGGAATTAATTTGCTTAAAGCATGATATATACAGGCTGGAAGTGCCAAGGTGAAACCCCCTTGGACTAACAATATGCACTTTAAAAGAAAATGAAGAACAGGAGGGTAAAGCAGTTCTTTTCTGGGGCTAGGTACCAGTGTGGGTGAGCATAAGGAAAGGGTGAATATGATAGATATATTTTGTATTCATATATGTGGATAGAATAATGAAATCTGTTGAAATTGTTCTAAGAAGGGGGTCGGGGGAGGAGGGAGAATGATGGTGGGGATAAATCTAACCAAGATATATTGTAAGCACATATGTAAATATCACAGTGTATCCCTGTATACAACTATTATATGCTAATAAAAAAGAAAAGGAAGGGAGGGAAGGAGGGATACAGCAAGGAAGGAAAAAAGGAAGGAAGGAAAGAAGGAAGGAAGGAAGGAAAAATAATATTGTGGTTTATGAAATCTGAAAGAATTGGTTTAATAAAACTCAGCTCAACACTGTGGATAAAGCAGCACTAACTTGAAACTCTCTAATTTGTAACTCAAATAGAAAAGAGGCAGGGATTAGAGGGTAATTAGTAATCTCATGATGAAAACCAGGTTTTTTTTTCTAAACTAATTAGTTTATTGCCATCAACTCTCTCATTAATAAGCCTCTGCAGGATTAAAAAATATATCAGTCCAATATAGGAGTTGATCTTGCCTGAGTATTTTGAAGCAAATAGCTCAAATAGCTGTATCTGCCAAATTTATGATGGAATCATTGAGAATTATTTTGAATCTTAAATTCGGAAGAAAACTTCTTAAAGAAACAATCCATAGAGTAGGATAATTGCTTTCTGATAGCAAGTGAGGCCTCGTCCTCAAATGGGGAAGAGGACATTGAAATGACATCCTCTTTGATCATCATACTAAATTGTGAATTTAAATATCTGGATTTTACTTCTGTCTTTGCCACAATCTAGCTAGGCAATGTTGAGCAAGTCATTTAAGGAATCTTCGCATTTCTGACAATGAAAGCCGAGTGAGATTTTATTTTATTTTAGGCTATATAGCATTTTGGTATCCTAAAATGTTAATGTTGAGACCTCACTTTGCATAACTTCAGAACAAGCTCAGTGGGGTCTGAGGAATATGGCTCTGCAGAGCCAGACAATTGTCTTCTCAGCATTTCTAATTAGGTCAAACCTCTCCTCTCCAGCAGGTCAGCAATAGTGGGGATGTTCAGATGGGTCCAGATAATGCAGGCAGCCTCTTCACACCTATCCAGCTAGCAGGAGTGGCTGGGGTTGACTCACTCTTCACAGACTCATCTTTCCAGTTCTAGCTGTGGCTCCTTCACCTACCACATTCCCAAGTCTGCAACCTGACGTGGCTGCTGTTAGGGTAGCTCTGAAGAATTGATGAAAAGTTAGAGAGATGTTTTACTTTAACATTTTTATCAACTGATAACACAGCGTTTTATTAAAATTGTCAAACAAATCTTCCTTTCTGGCCTGCTCATTTATTTGTAGAAGAAGGAATCATTCTCATTTCTTTATATTCAATTTAACTGGAACATTTAGTTCGTGAAAATAACTAGGCTGTAACTCATTGTTCTAGTTCTTGCAGATGATTTAATTACTAGGTATCAATCTGTCAGCAATTAACTACTGATTACAAATCAAATTAAAAATTGCATCTATGTAACTGAATAGGCAGAAATGGGCTAAACAGAAGATTTGTTTTTCTTCTAGTCAATGTTTTCATCTATCACTAAAGTTTTCAACATTTTAAATAAAAGGAATTATCACTACATTTGGTTTTCAACCAGAGGAACATTGTATGGCTTCATGGGTAAGCCATAGAAAGTGACTGCAGAAACTTCCAGTGTCTTCTGTAGGCTTCATATCATGGTATCTATTAAAGAAAGATAAAAACTATGAGTAGAGGGAAGATGCTTCCTGTGGTCCTTATTATGTGGTGATGGACAACAGGGTTGGTATGGGCTGCATCACGTGCACGAAACTCCAGGTTGCATCAAAGAAAGTTTTACACACCTAGGAGTTAAAGGATTGGCTGGTGGTTACAAGTCCTTTCAGGGAGGAGCTGGAGGAACCAGATAGCATTGGGACATCCTAGACAACATTTGCAGCCTGCTTCATGTTCTTCCATTCCTATAACTAAGCTGCTTAATATGCTTCAGATTTTGGAAAAGGAATTGCATCTGGAAGATATATGACTTTTTAGACCCACAGATCCTTCTTCTGACTTTAGATGTAGTTATTACATTGCCAGAAAAAAATAAATGCTGACGTTGGACAATGTCAGAAATCTTGTCAAGAGCATGGATTATTTCACACAGACTGGAGATGTGCCTTCTGATTCTGGTGGCTTATTTGTTCCAAAGAAATGTGAATTCAGGACATTTGCCAACTAAAGCTGTGGACCCAGAAGCATTCATGAATGTTGTAAGTTGGGGTTTCTCATATTTTGGGGATATGAAGTATTACATGCTAACATTTGTATCTGTGTAGTATCTGCATAGTGTATTATTTTTATATATTGTGGTGATTCATGTGTAGAAGAGTATCATGACAATGTAGCATATTTGACTGGAAAGTATGCCAAACTGGGTGTCAGTAGGCCTAGCAGCTCCTCAAACAAATTCAATAATTTGGGTGAATGGCTTAATCTCTTTGAGATTCAAACACAATCTAATTTTTCCTCAAATTCTTAGTATCATCCTATGAACAAATAACTGAGATATTTTAGGCTAATCTCAGACCTTTGATTATTTCCATTTTGTTTTCACTTTTTTATTCTTTTCTCACTTTCTCCAATATTATAAAGATATCAGCCCTGACTTTTTGCTATCTGGGCACCCACTTAGAGTAACACTTGGTACCATTCTAATCTACTCTTACTGTCTTGCTCTGCACTGCTAACTCCGAGGAATGAAAAGACCTTGAGAATGCTAGAGAAGTGTGTGTGAATAAAATGCAGAAAGGAGGTCTCCCAGAGAATTTTTATTTTTGGCTTACTTCAAATTCTAAGTTGAGTTTTAGTAATGGCCACTACATAGTAACATTTATCCTGTAGCAGACAAAGCTTTTACTGAAGAGACACAATTTCAATTTGTCTTCACGGTCCTATGCTGGAGATATGATCATCTATGTTTTTCAAATCAAGAAACTGAGATTAAAGAGGCTAAACCAGTTAGACAAGCCTCCACCTCTAGTACAAAGTAGACCTGCAATTTAAATTCAGACCTGCCTAAACACAAGCCTGTAATTATCACCACTCTGCAATGAACCCTCCCATGTGAGAGGAAGGAGAGGCTCCCTCCAGATGAGTGAGATGCTTGTGTGCCATGTCCATACTCCACAGACTTACATAATACCTACAAAAAGAAACTTTAACATTCACTTATGCAGGCTTAAGACCCTTTTTATAGAGGCCCCTTTGTTTTCTAATGTGTTTTTCCTGTACAGATTCTAAAACTGAAAGGTCATAGAAAAATTCTGAATCTGCATGGTTATAAATATCAGGTTTCTTCCATCCATTCCAATGATTGACTGACAGTTTGTCCAGAGAGTTAACACATTTGTTCAGACCCTTGGGATCATCCTCTGGCTCCAAGCATGTCCCACACAAACCCTCTAGTGTAGGGGTGGAGGAAATCTCTAACTACACATTAAAGGCAACCTGCCTAGTTCTACCTTCTGAGTTTTCCCAGCACTCAAACACTATTGAGATTTCAGAAAGGGTTTCTCAAAACTAAAACACAGTGAATTGGGCTCTGCCATTGAGAAATTATGTCTGGAAGACAAAGTAAAATAGGAAATTCATATAATTATTGGTTCAAATTCAATAAAATAGAATAAAAGTAGTTGACAGTCTGAATTAGTTTTGACTCTACAACAATATATGTGGATTGTAGTCTGTCCTATACTTCAGTGTACAAATGGCTTTATCCATGTTAATTTTTAGCTTGTGTTTACTGACAACCAACTAGATTGCTGATGTGATGGTATGCAGTGATGGGCACAGAGAGTTAAAAACATCACAACCCAGCTTAAAAGACAATTACTAGTCAAAGGAGTAATGATGCCAAGGAAGAAAATACAAAACAGGGTTAACTAATCCAGGAAGCTTCAAAAATTTTTTTTCTAAAGGAACATTTCTTAGACTGAAATCTGAATGATGAGTAAGAGTTAGGTTAGGGACTAATAGCAAAGGGATTGGTATGTTGGCATCATGGAGCAGTAGAGGTGTAGTGAGCCATGCTGTGTTTGGGAGGACAAATGTAGATCATATTTAGTTGGCTTTTAAACACTGCGGTTTTTTCTTATTATAAAAGCATTATGGGTTCATTATAGAAAAACTGAAATATGCAGAGCAGGACAATAATTGCTAATACACCTTGTTCTCAGAGCTAACCACTAACAACTATGTCATATGTCCTTTCTTTTTCCTCTAAATCTATCTTTTTTCTAAAATAAGAATGAAAACCTATTGTTTTTCAACATTTTTTTCTAGCAAAAATAGCATCATGAAGAATTTCTCAAGGTTTTGAATATCCTTCTATCATTTCAACTTCCTGCATTATGTTCCATTTTAGTGGGTATATGTGTATCACAGGTTGAATATTCTGTGGAACATAAAGACCCTAAAGCAGAATTCATGTGCAGAATGTTTATTAAGAAGTAATAACTGGGTGTAGTGGCATGCACCTGTACTCCCAGCTACCAGCAAGGCTGAAGAAGGAAAAGCACTAGAGCCTAAGAGTTTGAAACCAGCCTAATATAATAAGATGTTATCCTATTGCAAAAGAAAAAGACTGTAAGAAAGAGAAGGAGGTCAACATCTGTTGACAGGAAGAGGAGAAGCAGGAGTGGGTAATGGCTGAAGTCAAGTTGCCATCAAATTACAAAACAGCCTCAGCAAACCCCATTGGAAGGGAAGCTCCAGAGCTAAAAGAGCCCCTCAGAAATGTGTCAAGCTGGACTCAGATGACCAGTCTTTGCACCTTAAGGCACACCAGCCATTGGACATGGCAGGAATGGACTGGGACTATCCATCAAGGGCTCCCTGCTGACAGCACTCCTAGCAGATTGGATTAGTCCTTTATTGAAGGGGGATCTGGGAGGGATCTCAATATTTATTTCACCAGACTCTCAGTATAATTTTTACTGTTACAAATAATGCTGGGAAAAATGCCCTTACACTTAGTTTTAATGCATTTCTCTGATTTTTTCCTTAAGTTAGATTTTCAGGAGTAACCCATTGTACTGAAAGCTCAAATATTTAACTGAAAGTTAAATATGAAATGCAATCACAACTTGTCAATTCACAATATAATTAAAAAGTTAAATATTCATATTTAAAATATAGATGGACAGACACATACATACATATATATGTACAGGCATGCATAGATATGCTACTGTCAAGAATGGTTATCAAACTTGAAAATTTCTTACCTTTTAGAATAGATTAGGTCTATATTTTCTATGTCCACAAACTTGTGTCCTAATATTATCCTGCCTAAACTCTCTTGTCACCTCTTATCTGTTGACCATCTGTAGACAATGTTCATTGAGGTTGTATTTTTTTTCATTCTAGAAGGTCGATTCCTCCAATCTCTACCTCCTAGGTTCTCTTGAGTTATTTCTATTCAATCCTCAGGGCCCAGCTCAAATTCTCCTTCCTCCATAAGACTAGCCCTCTTCATGGTGCTCTCTTTCCCTCCTCAGAATTCCTTTACTCCTTTCTTGACCCCACATCTTTCAACCTTGTTTGACACATTACATATAACCTTATTGGTTGTCCTTTCTTCTCATGTGTTATACATTTATCTTGTCTCCATAAGTCATCTACAATAGTAGTTCCTGAAGGTTAGTTTTCAATCAGCAACATCAGCATCACCTAGAAAGTTGTTAGAAATGTCAATGTGTTGGATACTCCTCATACTTACTGACTACATCAAAATCTTTGAGAACAGTGTCTGGCATCTTGTGTTTCAACAAGTCCTCTGAGTAGTTCTGAGGAATGCTGAAAATTTTTTTAAGTTAAGTGTATAGTGGTCACACACACACACACACACACACTGCATTCCATAAGACTTGGTTAATTGGAACTTAATTTCAGTGGTAACTTGTGCCCATTGAGTAGCTACTAGTATGTGTTAAGCATTGTATTTAACGATATATGTGTATTATCTTTTTGCATTTCTTACAAAAATCCTATGAAGTATGAACTAACAGAGAAAGAAACAGGAATAGAGACACTTCAACTAAATTTCCCAACATCAGTCAGCCAATTTGTACATTAGTGATCGAGCCAGTAGTGGGACTCTAGGGCTTTCCTCTTAATGACTGCGCTCTATTGCCCTAGATTCTATGCTAGGCATTTGGGATCTGGCCTTCTCCACTCTTGCTCATTTTAAAGTAACCCCCTGATATAAATAGTTTCCTCATTCTCTGGATGATGACAATGGGCAAGAATAGTGAGGATTTTGGGAAATCTCTGCAGCTTTATATTTCCCAAAGAGTTTATGTATGTATGTATAGTGTAGAGATTTTTAATTGGTGGTCCATATATGGGCAATAAGGAATCTGAAACCCTTGAAATTATATGCAAAAATATTTATGTGTATCTACATATTTGTATCCATTTTTATAGCTCTCCTCAAACTCGCTAAGGGACCGTTAGTCTAAGAATGATTTAAAAATTACTGTTTTGAATTTGTGGTTTTTAGAATTAGAAAGAACTTTAATAAATGTGTGTGGCCAAGAGATTCTTATAACTAGTTCTAAAACAGGTTCCTTGCAGGCTGCATTAGAATTGCCTGATCTCTAACCTGAACTGGGCTGGGAATCTGGATGATTCTGGATGATTTTATTGTGCAGCTAGGTTTGGAATCAGTGCCCTGGTCCAGTGCTTCTCAAACATAAGTGTGTATCAAAATTCCCTAAAGAGACTATTGAGACCTCAAAGTTCCTAATTCAGTTGGTTTGGCTGGAATGTGATAACCTGCATTTTCTTTTGTGTTGTTGTTATTGTTATTATATATTAATAATTCAAGAGGGTTTCATTTTGATAATTCCACAGATACTTAAAAGTGGACTTTGAACAAGTCCACTTCCTCTATTATATTCCCTTAACTCACCTCTACTCTCCCATTTTTCAAGCAATATTTTGTGAATTTCATTATGCTTTCTTCCTCTGTGTGTATGTGTGTGTGTGTGTGTGATGTAACTTACTTTGATCCTCTCAAGTGCCCAAGTGATGTTTATGGTTTTGGCACACACTGTGAGAAACATCACACTAGTCTAGTCTTCATATTAAAAAGTGAGAAGGCTTGGGGTATAGCTTAATAGTAGAGCTCTTGCCTACCATGTTTGAAGTCCTGGGAATGGCTTCCATTCCCAGCACTGTGAGAAAAAAAGTAATAATAAAAGTGAGGACTAGAGAGGGCAAGAATGGACTATTTTTTCTAATGTAACATGATCAGTTAAAGAAAAGCAAGGACTTTCTTGTCTACATCTCACAGCATTAAGGAATCTACTTTTACTTTTGAATCATCAAGAATAGAATCATATACAGAAACATAAGCTCCTACCTGAAAAAATAACTAAAATAAAAATAGGGTAGGGACTTAAGAATATTACTCAAGTGATAGCGCACTTGAACCTGAGGGTCAAACTTCTACACAACCAAAAAAAAAAAATGTAGCCATATAGAGCTGAACTCAAAATAGTGTTTTTTTCCATAGAGTGAAATCATTCAACATAAAGGTTATCCATGTGAGGAGTATGAAGTTGCAACCGAAGATGGATATATCCTTTCTGTTAACCGAATTCCTCAAGGCCTAATGCAAAAGAAGAAAAAAGGTACAGATTACCCAGTATCACCCCAACATGGCAATCTTCCCTACAAGTCTTACTTTTTTGTGATTTTAATGTGTAGAAGAGTCTAGATCCTCAGTACAGGCTGGGATACATTGGTCAGGTCCATCACCACTACCTTACCCCACCCTACACCCACTAATTATCTCAAATAAACATACAGTGTTTGCTTTTCAAAATACACCTTCAGGCTGGGGAGATGTAGCTCATGGTAGAACATGTGCTTAGCATGGGTGAGGCCCTAGGTTTAATCCCCAACACCACAAAAAAACAAAAAACACCTTTGAAAAATGTCTATATTTTGACCCCTTCTATCACCCAACTCATTCCCTAAAGTCCATCTATACAGATATTCTAGAACATTCTCTGTTGATACCTTGAACAGGACATGCCAACCAAGCTTATGAAGAATCCAAAGTCTAACATGGCACCTAGTGCTCACCACTACACACTCTATTCCTATCCAAAGAGCACCTCAAATATTTAAGATGGCACCTCGCTTTTCACTTTTTTACAGCTAGGCTTTACATATACAATTTTAATTTTTGGTACATGTTTATACAGCTTATATAATTTCACTTTTATATGTCAGATTCTCAGCTAATACTGACTTTTTAAAAATTCATCTTCGTTATCCAGTAGGCCCATTTCCTATTTCTGTTTAGTTCTATTTTGTTTAAGACTCTAACTCTACGTTTAAAGCAGCATTTACATTATTTGTCACATATATAGGTAATATAATTTCCTGTGTTCCTTCTATATGCTACGTACAATAGTAAGTGCTTTGCTTCCATTAATTCTTCCATTAATTCTCTTGATTTTTATGATATCTCTAAGAAACTGCCACTCATACAGTTTATATAATTTGCCCAGAAAATCTACTATTGTGTTGTACTCAAATCAAAATAGTTTACCAGTGTTGTCTGTGTTCTTAACTAGAACCAGAAAATTCTGGGCAAATACCATAGGCCTTCAATATAAAGATGCTTCAGGATTCTGTTTTATCCCAGTTTGTACACACGTAGGTATTTGAAAATCAACATTTTTTTATGCAGCTGTGCCTTGTTCAGAATGTTTAGTGCTTTTAGACTCACAGTTTTCCCTTGGGACCACTATTTCATCAAATACCTTTGCAGCTTTCCCAGGCCTTCTTCTTCCCTGACCACCCCACACAATTGTGGCTCTTTGCTATGTATTGGCATCTGGCCCCTAACCCTGCTTACTTCTCCCTAAAACACTTAGCAGCCCCTGATACAGATATTTGCTTATTGGTTTGTTGTCTGTCTCTCAGACAATTCACCTACTTTGCTTATGGCATATCCAGTAGCTAACAGGAGGCTGAGCATATTCTAGGTGCTAATAAAAATTTGTGGAATGAGTTAATAAACTTCAAATAAATAAATGAATAGCTTTGGAACACCAAGAGACTTTTCACTAAGCCCCATGAATCCTATAGTGTTGAGCAAGGAATGGCTCTTCCAAGCAGAGTGACCACAGTCACCACTATGTGGAGGCCACCTGCAGCTCCCACTCATGGATCAGGTTTTTCTTCTCATGTCCTGTTGGCTTAGACTAATTGCTAAGCAGCTTGTGGTTCAAGGAAGAATCTGCCTTTCAGTCTAGTCAGTGCACAATACTCCCCTCTAGTGGCTAATGTTATTCCTGATGCTCCTTATTCCATCTACAAGGAGGCAATTCTTTTTTTTTGCACAAGATTTTTAACAGGTATCTTTTTTCCATTTACATTCATGTGTACACAGTATTTGCATCACCCTCTTATACCCTTTCCCCACCTCCTCCCTCCCTCGGTGTCACCCCCCACCACCAGGCAGGAACTGTTCTGCTCTCCTGTTCTCTGATTTTGCAAAAGAAAAAAAAAAGAAATGACATTTTTGCTTGTTTAAGATACCTACATGGGGGTGAGGGGGTGGTTCAAGCATTTTTGGCAGCACTGGGGTTTGAACTCTGAGCCTCATGCTTGCTAGGGAGGTGTTCTTACTCCTTGAGCCACTCTGCCAGCTTCAAGGAGGCAATTCTTAACTTATGCAATGGGATACAATTCATTACTACAATTTTATTTTGATGCTCAAATCTTTCTGTACTGAAGGGAGCTCCTTTAAGCTGGCTGTGGGTCCTTTTAACATAAAGGAACCTTAATGTTAGAGCATTATATATAATATGTGTGTATATGTGTAGATAGATAGATAGATAGATAAACCCAAAATATACACATACATGTTAATCATTATACTGTCCTTTCTACTGGGCTGCTTCTGATATTTTCTGAGAAGCCCAGACAAGTTCCGTAATAATAATCTCACAAAACAGCAATGGAAGCTGAATTTTATCGATTTTTTCTCTTTGCCAGGCATGGGCAAATTTGTCACTTAGTCATAACAAAAATCCCATTTTACTAATGTGGAAGAAATTAGGACACAAGATAGTCAAGCTAGCAAACAGCTGAAGGGAGATTTGAACACAGGCTTTTCTGATTGGCATGCCCCTACATGTTAGGGAATAACAAGAAAGGCAGAAACATTTCACACGGTTTTAACTTCCTCTTGGCTGCAGGTTCCAGGCCGGTGGTGTTGCTGCAGCATGGCCTGCTCGGTGATGCTAGCAACTGGATTTCCAACCTGCCCAACAACAGCCTGGGCTTCATCCTGGCGGATGCTGGTTTTGATGTGTGGATGGGGAACAGCAGAGGAAACACCTGGTCTCGGAAACACAAGACCCTCTCTGTAGACCAAGATGAGTTCTGGGCTTTCAGGTATATGAAAATCTTGAGGATAGTGAGGGGCATAGGTGTTATTAGAAGAACTGGGTAAAAGAATTATGGTTTCATCCGGGTACAGTGGTTCACATCTGTAATCCCAGCTACTTGGGAATTAGAAATAAGAGGATCATAGTTCAAGACCAACATGGGGGGTGTGGGGGGGACGTTAGTGAGACTCCATCTCAAAACAGAAACTGGGTATGGTAATCATGTCTGTAATTGCAGCTATGTGGGAGGCATAGGTTAGAGGTTTGCAGTCCGAGTATGGCCCTGGCAAAATACACAAGAACCTATCAAAAAAAAAAACAACCAAATCAAAAAGGGCTGGAGATGTGGCTCAAGTGGTAGAGTGCCTGCCTAGCAGGTGGAAAAGCATTAGTACTTCCAAAAAAAAAAAAATATATATATATATACATATATATATGGTTTTTAATATTTAGATAATTCATTTTGTTTTTATTATCAATAGCCTAACATGATATCCCTCCATTTTTTAAGCAAGTTAATGATTCTTTGGGAGAAATCTGGAGGATATTGTGTTCCCCATATACATAGCTGAGTCTGTCTATTGGCATGAGAATGGTGGTTGATATCAGGTGATTGAAACTGAGATGAGAGAAGTGTAGATTCATTTCCTTGTAGGTGAGAATTCTGGGACTGATTTGTCCTTGTGTGATGATGAAGGCTAGCATACATAGAAGATGAGACCACACAGCACTAAAAAAAGAAGAGAAACTATTAGACCTTAGTGGCCAACAGTTTAACATCTCTCATGGCTTTACCAAAGGTTTTTTTTTTTTTCTTTTGCGGTACTGGGGCTTGAACTCAGGACCTTCACCATGAGCCACTCAACTGACACTTTTTTTTTTGTGATGGGTTTTTTTCCAGATAGGGTCTGGCTTTGAACCATGATCCTGCTGATCTCTGCCTCCTGAGTAGCTAGGATTATAGGTATGAGCCATGGCATCCAGCTTTACCAAAGGTTTTTTAATGTCTTTAGTTAAAGTATCTATTGATATTTCATCAGGGATGTGTTCCTGCGACATCTTTAGTATTTTTCTTACAAAGAAATTTGTGTAGCCCTGTGCCACTCCGCTCACATGGTAAGAGGACCCTTCCACTCGAGGTGGATCATGTGTTCAGTAAATATTCACTATTGATTCTTATTAGTGTCAGCAGTTTGCTGACAGCCTGTGATCCAGACACAGCCATGCACTCCAGGCTTGAAATAAGTGCATCCAGAGTGCTGTGAGAGGCACAGTAACAAGTTAGCAGCACTGACACATCAAGAGATTGTTTGTAAACCCTGAGTGGAGAGGGGGTGTGGATGGTTCTGTGTGTATCCGATTATAACTTTTCATATAACTTTGTCTTTTCCCCTTGTAGTTATGATGAGATGGCTAGGTTTGACCTTCCTGCAGTGATAAACTTTATTTTGCAGAAAACGGGCCAGGAAAAGATCTATTATGTCGGCTATTCACAGGGCACCACTATGGGTAGGTTCAAAAAAAGTAGGTTTGTATACTTGGAAAGAAAGTGAAACTGTAGCACAAGCTCTGCCTGGAGTCAATCACCAATCCTTCCTCTCAGAACTGGCCTTCTCTTCAGTGGCTCTAAGAGCCGAAGCAAACAGGAAATGAAGTGACAGAGACCAGTGATATGACAGAAAGAACAAAGGCTTTGAAGTCACACAAATGTGGATTTAGATACTGTTTCTGACACCCTTTTGGTTGAAACCCTTGAGCAATTTCTTTAGCCATCCTGATCTCAGTTTCCTCAGCTTAGACCTATTATCATTACTCAACGTGAGAGTGTACGTAAGCTCTGTGAAGGTGGAGATTTTGCTCTAAGAGACATTTCTGGCACACTGTGCACTCAGTAAATGTGTGCAGTGAATGAAGCTTTGAGCTCAGCAGCTGCCACTGAGTAAGCAGTCAATAAGCAGAAAGCATTATCATCATATTATAAGCAGAACTGAGTCTTTCTCTTTTCCTGTAATGCCAATGTCTGAAATTATGTGCTGATATCTTTTTGCTTGAGATGAATTTGAGAGACTTTAATTGGTGGCCCCTATGGGATATAGATCACTTCCCCTGAGAGATGCAGACTGTGACCATCCTGACACTACATCAGATCAAAGCCAATAAGGAAAGTACGCTTGGCTTAACTTAGAAGAAAGCAAGATCTTAGAGTCAAAGCATGAACCATGGGGAGAAGGCTCTCTGGGACTGAGAATGCTTTACCTTCACCTTGAGACTAAACCCTGAGCTCAGGCTGGTGTACAGGTTTCTAAGGTGAAATGTGAGCAATTACTCATTAGAAGTAATATTTATTCTTCAATGAGTCAGTTGTGTCTAGCTTCTAGGATAGGGCTTATCCTCATGATGGAAAGATGAAGTTTTAAAAACAGCTTAATGTTTTGTCGCATTTGGTATCTGTGGTTTAATATCATCTTTATATCATCCTAGTCTTCACAATAATAATAGTTGCCTTTTATGTGCACCTACTAACTGCCAGCTATTATATATGTATCATTTTGCTTTACCACTACACCAGAATATGTGGGAAAGATTTGTATCCCTATTTTACTGATGCATAAATTGTGGACTAGTGAAAGAGCTAGGTATTAATAGTGAACCACTAAGCCAGGACATGTACCCATGGACTCCAGGTACATACTAAATAACAACTGTACAATGAGGCCTGTAATCTGAGTGGGAATTGTATGCACACATTCCTTAATTCCTACAAGAGCCTTACTGCTACCTCCATAGTTACTGGAGATTCTTAAGTCAAATCCTTCAAAAACCAAAAAGAGATGACCTAGAAAATCCATTATCATGCTGAAAATATTGTAAATTCAGACCAATAGTGTGGAAATCTCAGTCAGCTTTTGGTTAAGTCAAAAAATTCTTGTTGTTCCCTTAATTCAATAATACATCATGGTTTCAGTCTTTAGTCATTTGATTTCTGAGACCCCAGTAGGCGATCCTGTCTCTCTGGCCATAGATACTGACCTTCCAGGTGATTTGCTTCTGCAAAAGTTTGTAGGGATGATTAAATATTATCATCAAGTCCTGAGTTTGCCTTTTTTCTAGCTTTTCAACTTCAAGGAATGGAGTGGCCGCTTTACCTCTCTCTAAATTCCTTACATTTAGCCTCTGTCCTCAAGCCAGTAAGAAAGATAAAGTACTCTAAGTACTTTTTCTGAGAAATTTCAAGGGAAAAGAAGTTGCGATTGGAGGGGAATGTGCAAATCCAACATATTCTATGAAATTTCATATGTATCAAATTGTTCGAATCTATCCAGCCCCAGCAAACACATCCTAAGGAAAGAGGCTGAGACTCATGGCAAACCTGGCTAGCAAAGACTACATAACATATGGTCAGAGTCTCTAATCACTGAATTTTGTTAAGCAAATAGCATATGTAGTGTACAGCACAAGATTAACCTGACTCCAAAGATGGGTAAGTGCAGCAGAATAATTTACTATTTTTGTTTAATTCTCCCCCATCTTTCTTATTTGTCTAATCTTAATGTTACTGTCAGTGTCTGTTGAAAATGATGTAATTCACTGGGACTCCTTAGGTTTTAATCACTCTCCCAGGAGCTCTTTTCCTATAAAACGCTTCCAGCAGTCACTTATGATTATTACTCATAATGGTATTATGTCAAAAATGAAATTTAATTGTCAATGAAGAGCTCTAGTGGTTCAAGGGCTGTTAGAAATCAGGGCACAAGATTGCTTGGCTCATTTTTAACTGATGCTCTCTAGAAAACAGAAGGAATCTAACTTTCACATTTTCCTTTCTTTATTTTTTGATAGTATTAAGAGGTTCTAGGTCCTCTGTAATGTTCAGAGGCCTTTTCAGAAATGTGTTGTCTATACTGAAATTGTTTAGCTTGACCTAGAGACAAAAGTGCAAATGATGAGATTAGATGCCATTGTGGGAGGAAGGAAGGAGCAAGAGAGCGTAAGATTCTTCTAGTGGTAAATCATGGAGTTCTTAATAAGGAGAATTTGCCTAAAGAGACATACTGCTAAGGAGAGCAAGTCAAAAGTTCCCAAATCTTGACTTATGAGGGAAGTGCAATAATTTAATTCAAATAGAATATTATATGAGAAAGCAAATATAGCAGATGTCATGGGAAGTGTAGAGGAGTTTTTTCCTGTTGCCTCCCTGCCCCCAAAGAGCTTATGAATTCATAAAAGAAGAATTAAGACACAATCACACATAATCATTAAAATATCTTGATAGAGCTAGGCATGATGGCACAAATCTATAAATCCCAGCGTTGGAAGGTGAGTTTGAGACCAGCTTGAGCTACATAGGTAAATGTCTTTTAAAAAAAGAATTTTGGCAGAACTAAAATACACTTTTTATGAGTACTATGATATTCAGTGCCCATGCTGATATATTTTTCTCTCTTACAGGCTTTATTGCATTTTCTACAATGCCAGAGCTGGCTCATAAAATAAAAATGTATTTTGCTTTAGCCCCCATAGCCACTGTTAAATATGCAAAAAGCCCCGGAACAAAATTTTTGTTGCTGCCAGATATAATGATCAAGGTATGTGACACCTCAAATAATTCCTTGTGTGTGTAGAATGAGACCTGTTGAAACTATTCCAGGAATGGGAGGAAGGAGGATATAGGACAATGGTGAAGGGGGTAAATTCAGGTATAATACATTTGATACATTGTAAGAACTTTTGTAAATGCCACAGTGTACCCCCACCCAGCAGAACAATAAAAAAGAGTAGATTAAGAAAACTGATGAAAATATCTACTTTAGTTAAAAAAAAGTCTTCCAGCTCAATTTCCTAAAACATATACTTCTAATGTGATGTTTTCTGATGATACTGTAATGACTACAATTTCATTTCATATTTTCACAGGGATTATTTGGCAAAAAAGAATTTCTGTACCAAACCAGATTTTTCAGACAGTTTGTTATTTACCTCTGTGGCCAGATGATTCTTGACCAAATTTGTAGTAATATCATATTACTTCTGGGAGGATTTAACACTAACAATATGAACATGGTAAGTAGGAGCCTTGTAAATTCCCACTGTCCTAAGTGAAGCTGGGAGTTATTAATCTTCCCTTCTTGAAGGTGAGACAATACCAGTGAAGACTTAGAGAAATGATGGATACCCAGTAATTTCCAGTTTCTAAGATAAAATGAAATGCTGGAAAAGTTTTCAGTGATTGAAGCAAGGTTAAAATTAGGGTATTGCTAGATATTAACTTCACAGATTATAGATGAAGAGGTCTGAAAGCCCACAGGAAAATATCAGATAGAAAAAAGTGATTAGAACCTAGAAGTCAATAGACATTTATTTTTCAGGCTAAATATTCCTATAACAAACCTCACATCATTTACCTCTTGCCTCCACTTGGATCCCTTTGGTTTGTAATTTAAGTTAATTGATGGAAAGTTGGGGAGTTTCATTTGGCTTAGCATAGCTACTACCATTTGGCAAGTGTTACTGGATAGGTTCCCCAAGATGCTTACTCTGAGATGGAGATTAATATGCAGAATGATTTTGCTATTGGAATACCACCTAGAGAAGGAAGAGGACAGAACTTGGTAGGTGAAAAAGTCAGACTGAATAGCAGCAAGTCAGAGTTGATCCTATATAGTGACACTTCAGACTAGCCCAAAGTTGGGAGGAGAGGGCTATACCTTTATACTCCCACATCTACCAGTCAATTTATGCAGACCACACTGGTATTGAGAGATACATTGGGCAGGCATCTCTCTGTAGCTAGGTGATCCCCAATGAAGGCTGACAGTGGAGGGCTGTCTGTTAGCAGCACTCCTAGCTGATGGGGGAATATCTCTAGTTCCTGAATTTTTTTTTCTTTTTAAAAGTCAATTATTTAAGTAAATGTAAAAATGATAAAATAAAAGGAAAAAAATTAAAATCAATTATTTCACTTATAGCTAGCATTTGATAGATACTTATTATCTGCCACGCTACGTTTTTCTTCTTAACACAAGTATTGTCAATATCCCCACTTTACTGAGATTCAGTAGGGTAAGTAACTTGCCCCAAATCACCTAAATATTAAACAGCAGAACTAGGTCCAATTCCTAAATATCTCTAGCAAAGTCTTTTATTTATTTATTATCTTATATATCTTTTCATTTTTTAAAATTAGGATATATTTGTTGTACAGAGGGATTCATAGTGACAATTCCAAATAAGCATATATTGTTCATTGGTTACATCACCCCCACCATCTTTCCCCCTTAACAGCCTCCCCCCGGCACTTGAAGCAGTTCCAAGAGGTTTCTTTGTTCTACTTCATATATGAAGTCCATCAACCATATACTCTCACCTTAATCTCCTTTAATCACCCTCCCCCCTCCCACAAGTAACCCCCCGACACTGTACCTATTTTATAGTCCTGTCTTTCATCATTAATATTTAACTCAATGTTCAAGGGGGTTCTCAATGTATCTGTGCTGTCAGTATACTTCATGCTGGTCCATTCAACCCCTTCCACTACTTTCCCTTACCCCTTTTACTTACCACCCACTATTATTCAACAGTTTTGAATACATATTCTTATATCCTCTACCTTCACAGATGTTATGTTTTATGATATTGTTGATGCTTTTTCATTCTTTTTTCCTTTCCCTCTTTGCCTGAGTTTCATTAAGTAGTTCCACTGTTACAAAAATGTTCTATATATGAGTTTGTATATGACCATGCTTGTTTTTGTGTATATGTTTATGTGGATCTATCTTTAATGTATGAGAGAAAACATGTGGCTTTTGTCTTTCTGAGCTGGCTTACTTTGCTTAACCTGATGTCCTCCAATTGCATCTATTTCCCTTCAAACCTTATGACTGAGTAAAACTCCATTGTGTATATATATACCACCTTTTCTTGAGCCATTCATCAGTTGTAGGGCATCTGGGTTGTTTCTATAGTTTAGCTACTGTGAACAGTGCTGCTATGAACATTGGTGTACAGGTGTCTATTATATTCTGACTTACATGGGTAGATGCGCAGGGGTGGTATCACTAGATCATATGGCAATTCTATCCTTAGCTTTTTAAGAAGTGTCCATATGGCTTTTCATAATGGTTGTACTAATTTGCATTCCCACCAACAATGTATAAGGGTTCCTGTTTCACCGTATTCTCACCAACGTTTGTTATTGCTTTTTCCCTTGAATATGGCCAATCTAAATGGGGTGAGATGAAATCTTAGTGTAGTTTTCATTTGCATCTCTTTTATAACCAGGGAAGTTGAACATTTCTTTATGTATTTACTGGCCATTTGTACCTCTTCCTTTGAGAATTCCCTGTTTAATTCATGTGCCCATTTCTTCATTGGGATGTTAATTCTTTGGAGGTTGAGGTTTTTTTTGAGTTCCTGGTAGATTCTGGGCATTAGTCCCTTACCAGATGAATAGCTGGCAAAGATTATCTCCCATTCTGTGGACAGTCCTGAATCTCATGATTGTACAGAAGAAGATTTTTTATGTAGTCCCATTTGTTCATTCCTTCTTTTAGATGTTGAGCCTTTTGAGTTTTGCTTAAGAAATTGTTCTTTATGTCTATCTATTCCATTGTATTTCCTACATCTTCTTGTAGTTGTTTCAGAGTTTCAGGCCTTATATTAAGGTCTTTGATTCACTTTGAGCTGATTTTGGTACAGGGTGACAGACAGGGATCAAGTGTCAGTCTTCTATATAGGGATATCCAGTTTTCCCAACAACATTTGTGGAAGAGGCTGCTTCTTCTCCATTACGTGTTTGGACTCCTTTGTCAAATATCAGTTGGCTGTATCTGTGTGGGTTTATGTCTGAATCCCTTGGTCTTCATGTCTGTTATTGTGCCAATAGTATGCTGTTTTTATTCTTATTGTTCTGTAGTATAGTTTTCAAGTTGGATATTGAGTTATATATTTATTTTTGCAGTCCTAGAGATTGAAGATTGAAACACTCTCAGATGAATAATATAGGTTCCTAGAAATCTATGAGCATGTGTGCATTACTGTTTCATAGATAATTACTAATAATTTTATGATATTCCCTTTTCTTAGTCTGACACCCTGGATATTTGGTCTTGACAAGGTGAATGTTTTGAGAGTTTTCCCATGTCCCACAAACCATTCATGCTTTGTTACAGAGCCGAGCAAATGTATATGTTGCCCATACTCCTGCTGGAACATCTGTGCAAAATATTCTACACTGGAGCCAGGTAGGAATGCAGAATTTGTAATCCTTGCACCTTTTGTCTGAAATAGTAAAAAACTCCAAGTGTTTGTGTTTATGCCAAGAACAAATGCAATCAGGTAAATGATGTTTCAACTGTGACCTTGATATAGATCATTGAAACTTTTTAGGAGATGGAAAGAAATGACAAGAGCAGCTTAAGAATATCTTTAGTGCATCTTAAAAGTAGGGTGGTCTAAGTGAGTCCTGTCTCCATCTCTAGCCACCTCAAAGACATGCTTAGAGGAAATTACATTTCTACATTCTCCTTTCTGGTTCTTCTAGCAGCATGGTCAAGTAGGAACAAAAAAGATAAGGGTGCCTCACTGCCCAGAGAGAGTTTTATAGAGGTCCTTTTTGCTACACTCTTCAAAATTCTGAGTTGAATGAAATTTGGTCACATTGCACAACTTCAGGGAGCACTTCTCCATTGTGTCTCTGGAATTGTGCCAAATACCCATCCACATAGATTACAATGAGATGTACTTCCTGGCGTGTATTATGTGATGGTCGAAGGTTTCTGTACTCTTTCTTCCTGAAAGAGCTTAATTGTTGCATTTACAATTTTCTAAAAATTATCCCAATATGGAATGGAAAAACAGAGCTTTAGTCTCTGCTTCCCTAATAATTGCACATGTGATAGGCACATTTCCACCACCCCTCCAACTTTGAACACCGTGCAAGTTTTCTCTCCTTTTAGGCAGTGAGTTCTGGGGAACTCCGTGCATTTGACTGGGGGAGTGAGACCAAAAATTTGGAGAAATGCAATCAGGTAAGAAAGTCAAATACCATCTACTGAAAATATATCTTTTGGAAATGTGTGAGGAGGACATTATAGTAACAGGTGATTCTAGGAATCAAAATAAAATATAAGAAGTTAAGCAGAAAATTACAGTTAGTGTTTAACTTTATTTGAAAATGAAAAAGTAGATTAGCAAGAGGCCTCTCTGCTTCTCTGATGGAGTAGGAGGCCTGTTTTGTTAAGGCTGCCTTGTAGCGAGGCAGTGGGCTTCTCAGGAACAAGAGAAGGTAGACTTAGTCCAGAAATAAGTGTAGCCTGTTATAGGTACCAGAAACTTCCTTTTAGGATCAGAACAGACAAATGGGAGTGGTGACAGTGTGGAACAGTGAAAAGAACATGAAATGGTGAGGATTTTTGTATTAGTTTTGCCTTTGCACCAAAAATTTGTGTGACAGTGGGTAGGCTACTTCAATTTGCCAGAACTCATTTTCTTTAAGACAAAAAATATTGGATTAAATAATCCTTAAGAATTCTTCTTGATCACACTTTTAATGAATGTGTGATGTACAAGTTCGTAATACAAAAGAAATAGTTACATTATTTTACAAAATATGTAGCCAGTGCTGTGCATATTTACTTGACATCCATTGCCACACATCACCTAGATATAAAATGCTAGAACACTGGACTGAATGTGTAGTTACCCATGGATAAAAACCTCTCAATCATATTTATCCACTTCTCTTTTTTAGATCCTTCTTCACTGTTTTCTACAATATGCCTTTAGAGAAAGTATTCCTGTTCTAAAATGGTTTTAATTTATCAGCATCTAGTGGACTGAGTTCTAGAGAAAGTGATGCATGCAGACTAGGCACTGGAAAATAGTAATGGAAAAAAACAGAAAAAAATATAAAAAGCCAGATGTGACTTTTAGTCCAATATTTTCACCTGTACAATGAGAAAAAATATTACTGACTCTGTAAAAAATTCCAAACTTTCATTATCTAGATGTGTTTTGTCAAGTGATCTAGTAAGTTATTACTAGGAACTGATGCTCAACCATGTCAAATAACTTACTTTAAAGTGAGGAGTGTAACTCCAACACCCATGCACCTTTCACCACCACCACAGGGCATCCTTATTATGTTTACTTGAAATGTAAATTATAAGTTTGCAAGTCCAAATATTATTTAGAGTTAAAACTATTTTTTTTTCTAGCCAACTCCTGTAAAGTACAAAGTTCAAGATATGACAGTCCCAACAGCAATGTGGTCAGGAGGTCAGGACTGGCTTTCAAACCCAGAAGACGTGAAGACACTACTCTCTGAAGTGACCAACCTCATCTACCACAAGAACATTCCTGAATGGGCCCATGTGGATTTCATCTGGGGGTTGGATGCTCCTCACCGTGTGTACAACGAAATCATACATCTGATGAAAGAGGAGGACACCAACCTGACCCAGGGAACCTGCAAGGCCACATTATAAAGCTTCTGTTATTGACATCTTGTAGAAACAGTTTCTTGGAACGTGGGGCTAGGGTCATGAGTAGAGGATTTTTGAGAGGGATTTTCAGAAGTAGAAACCTACCCTATCAGTGGAAGAGAGGAAAGAGATCTAGTAGACATTCTTTCAGATTTCTGCATTTGGAACTAAAACTGAGATATGCATTTCTTTTCAGTTTGTTAAACTAAACTAACTTGGTGAACACAGGATTCCTGTGCTGTGATATCTTCTATCATCTTGAAAGATAGATTTTACTTGACAACAGAAAATATGGAGACACTCACTACATCATTTGGGGAAACTTCCCTAAAACATTTATATTGTTCTGTAAGCCTTATTTTTGGAGCACTAAGGTAAAATGACAACTGGGACAGACATTGAGTTCATACCTCTCTGGATTGTTGGCTTGAACAAAATAAGCTGGACATTTCCATCTTATTAACTATGGAGACAGGACCCTACCTCAGGAAGCCAAAATGCTTTAGCGACAATAAAATCAATGTGTGCTATGGATGAGATAAATGTTAAATTGACTCAGAATAAGGCCAATTTTATGGCTGGATATCAGAGAAGGTAATTTTATGGGATGTTTATGAGTTTTCCAGTAAATGCATTATGGGTTGCAGATACTGTGTATGCAAATGTCAGTACCTAGATTCTAGTCTTGTTTACAGCCTGTTGCTAGGAGACCTGCTACCCAATTTTCTACCTCCAAATATTAAAAGCTAGGAAGAAAATTTTACAATGTCATGAGTATAATGACATAATTGTCATATATTTTATTCTTAGATCTCAACAAAGTTATTATTAGAGAATCCCCCAACTTACACATAAATCTAGATTTATTTCTCTAGAAAATTGTTCAATTTTCACAGTTTCAAAGATGACAGTGGGGAATTATCTGAGTAATATTTTGCAAAATCTATTCTGAAACCAAGTCAAAGGTACTCTGTATATATTGAAAGAATACTGTTGAAGGTATACTACTGTGTAAAGTTCCTCATATTTTTGTGGCCCAGAGTCACCTGGAAACTCAGTCTAATGCTAATGGATTTTTAAAATTTTATTTACAGACACTAAAGACTTCAGAATCTATACAAATTACTACTTCCCTCAAAGCCTGCACAGAGTTCTATTAGCATTTCCAGATTTGATTTTTATTATACCTTTGTTTTATTCAAGGAAAAGTAAATCTTTCATTCTTAGAGTTTATTGTTACAGCATTGTATCCGTAGCACGGCTTAGTCTATACTACAGCCATGCCTGAGTCAGCCTTGATTTTCAAAATTCAATCATATTTTTAAAGTATTTTTATTTCCAGTCAGTCTCATTTGCAAAGGAAGTAAAACAGATATTTTTGTATTTATCATTTCTCACTTAGAAATGTAAAGTAGATACAACCTCATTATAGTTCTCTATTTTGTGAAGAAGTTCTTTATTCAAATACGTTACAAGCACATTTTAAATTGCATCAATAAAAGCAAACCAAACTGGACTTGGCAATATAGGGATGGAGCAAATGCTTACCATATGTTAGGCCCTGGTTCAAACACAGCACCCCCAAAACACAATAAAATAAATAAACAACAATAACATGCTGTGTTCACCTTATATGTACAAGAGGATCATAAATGTTACACATCAGTTTATTTATTTTTGGTGTTGGCAATCAAACCCATGGCCTTGAGTATGATAAGCGCACTGTACCAACAAGCTACACTCTTAAACCCACGAGGATAATTCTGAACAGACATTTTGATAGCTACATGACTTGCTCAGACCAAAGTAGCTTTTACTTGAAAACTGATACCAAAATGTAGAATGGCAAGCTGATAAACCAGCTCTCTGAAAACAAGCAAGCAAACAAACAAAACTGCTTTGTAACATTTGCCAGTTTCTATGGTGTAAACAATCTGCTCATTGCTGACAATTGATGCATACTTTTATTGAAGTTATTTCATCACAGGAATATTTACATTGGAATCTCTACTGCATACCCTTCTATATAAATGTAGATACTTTGATTCTTCCTTAGTACTTAGAGTCACCTGAGAGGAAAAGTTGTCTCTTAAGACATTAGTATGACTGACAGGCTCCTTATAAGCATGACACACTGAGAAGAAGGAATACTATCTCAGGTAACTCTGATCTTCTTCTCCAGGAGAAACTAAGTTTGAAACATCAGTTTGTGACAGAAGCAGAGACTCCCACAACTTCGTTGATTCCCCTAGAAGGATTGTGGCCATGGTGAACTCCATTGAGTAAAAATCATTATAAACACATAGCTTTCAAAACCATTAACCATGGCAGCCATCATTATCCCTATAAAGTGAGTCTCCAAGATGGAGATAAAATCCAGACTTTTAGCTGTGTCTCTGTCTCTGTGAGGTCATAGGATTATGATGTCTTCCTTAGCATTAATTCAATCTGGGAAAATTTTAGTTTCTGTGCAATATCCAGTGGGCTCTCACCTTGCTGAAAAGGAAAAAAAATATAATTATTTACTTACAATAGAGTCCAATGGCAATGATAAAGCTCTAGCAAACAGTTTTGACTAACTCAAACTTGGCAAGGGCTTTCTATGTCATTCAGTTCTAAAAGTAATGAGTAACTTTGTTTTTTAATGAGAACAACTAATTATTGTCAGTAGGGACAATGAACTTGCTTCAACACAAGGCCTACATGAGAAGTTTATGCTTCTAGGAGGACCTTAGACCATGGTTCCCAGATCCTTACCTTATCCTTTATCCTGGGGTCTGCATGCGCTTCCAGGAGGAGAGGGATGAGAGTCTGGTTTTTCATTCTGCAAGCATAATGTAAAGCTGTGCAGCCATACTGAAACACAAAGCCCAAGGTTGCAGCACATCAGTGAGGCTCTCCAGCATATGACCTCTCTCGTGGTTGTTCACGTTTAGTAGTGTATAACTAAGCAAAAGTGTCTGCAAACCATCCATGAGCCACTGTACTTCTTATACTAAAAATGTACTCAATAAGTACATCAATATCCCATAAGCCACAGATATCTTCCCCTTTCTCATGTTCTGTTCCAAACTACAGAATGCAACCTATAAAAATCTGATGCTGAATTACACCAAGCTCTCTTTTTAGAATTCTATATGTCTGAGCAATCATCACCTTGATCATTTTACCATCTTTCCCTTAAAGTGTTTCCACAGGCTCAAGTTGCTACCATTTGAGCCTCTCTGCTAGACCTTTTTTCATTTGTTATTTTTGACATAAGGTCTTGCTTTATGCCTAGACCAGCCTGCACTGCAATCTTCCTATTTTTGCTTCCCCACAGTAACTGGGATGACAGACATGCACCACCATGCCCAGCTATTGGTTGAGATGAGGTCGGTCAAACTTCTCTGTCTGGGTGGGCCTCAGTGATCTTCCCAATCTTCACCTCCCAAGTAGCTAGAATTACAGCTTGAGTCACTGCTCCCACCCTGTCCCCACCTGTCTGAAAAAGGCAGGTAAGCATGTCATTGCAGTTTGCAAAGAAGTCCACACTTTGTTGTAATTCATATTATATATTATAAAATAGTGGTTATACTCTGTTACAACCAATTTAAAACATAATACAGGTCAAAAAAAGTATAGCTGAGAATTTGTGCTTAAAATTTTGCCTTTAAAAAAGCAACCAAAAAAACCATGGTTTTAGTAAGAGGGGAAATAATATCCTTAACCATCAACACTAACAGTATTAATTCTGGATCATTTCCCCCGGAAATTTTTCAAAGATTGAAGGAAATAATGATTTAATCACTTATTCTTATTGAGCAATGGCATGATGAATGGAAGATCTGAATCTGAATGTTTCCATATGAAATAGAGTTTACTTAACCAAAAGCACAAAACACTGCATCATTTACAGTTAGAATATGAGTCACAAGATTCAGATGGTGGATTCTGTGTGTGTACACATGCATATGTGTGTGCATAGGAATGTAACATCTCTACCTAGAGACAGATATCAACACAAATAGCCAGAAAAATATCCTAGAGAAATTTTGGTCACAGACATAACTTTTAAGTTTTTTAAATTTAAATGAAAAGATCAAGAAAAACCTTCAAAAATCTTTTATTTAACTTTTGATAGTCTCTTAATAAATTTCAAAGATGATTAAGGGAATAATGTACATAGAAGTAATCTGTACAAATTAGTACGAAAATTCTATTTGAAATAAAATGAAGCCTTGCATTTCATAAACTTTTCTTGCTCTATCTCTCTGTCTTTGCTTCTCTTTCTCTGTTTCTTTCTCGCTCTCTCTCACACACACATACACACCTGCCTTCAGTTAAACATGACTCAAATAACAATCACTAAAATAATTAATAGAAATGGGGATGAGACACATTCTCTACTACTGTAATACACAGAGAAGTTAAGCATCACAAATAGGATGGTTGTTATAGAATCACATTTCAGATTATTTTTTTCAATAAAACACTGGAATTAATGTAAGAAATTAACTGCCATAAAAATATACTTTTGACCTGTTGTGTGTATTTAAGACAGGAAAATGAGTACATGGGTCAAAGGTAAAAGGTGAAAACAAAAACCTCACATTTCCTACAGGAAGAAGTTAGCTGATACTGCTCCTGTTATCAGTACTAGGATTTTTCTCTGACCTTTATCCTGATTTGCCTCTCATTTGTAAAAGGGAATCTTTCAATGCGGGTATTATGGCACACACCAGTAATCCCAGCTACACAGGAAACGTAGGTAGGAGGATGGCTATACAAGGTCTACAATACCATAACTGAAAAATAAATTAAAGCAAAAATGCCTGGGGACATGTCATGTTCAATTAGCAGAGCACTTGGTAGCAAGAGAGAGGCCCTGAGTGCAAACCCCAGTAGTGCCAAAAAATAAATAAATAAATAAATAAATAGATGAGGTCTCTGTAGTTGAGACCTTGACTGCAGCAGCAGCTGTTAACATCCAGTGAGCACTTACTTAAAAGCCAAGCTTTACATGAATCCACTCTATAAGATACTCACTATCAATATCTCCATTTTACAAATGAGGAAACTAAGAGTCAAATAAATTTACAGCTTGTCCAAATCCACTTATATGATAACATTAGGTTTCATATAAGCATTCGGACTTCTGCTTCCTAACTACTTAGTATTTTGTTATCAGAAGTTCATTTTCCTTAATTTTTCACTGATGTCAAAGCCAGTTATCTTTAAAATGTCCTATAATCAATAAAGATGTTATTCTTACAAGCTTAGTAGAAGTATATAAATAAGCTCAAAGTTGCCTGACTGGCAGTGAGTAAAAAAGAAAAGAAAACTAAATGTAAAATAAAGCAAGCAGCTGTGTAGATGATAAGTACACTATCTACTAATGCCACTTTGGACATTATTTCAAAATGACTAAACATGCAAACTTACACAGTCCGTAGCATTAACTTCAACACCAGCACCAAGGAGCATTCGTACAAGATATTCATTCTGCTTTGTCTTTGATACCTATTAAAAAGGCAAGTATAAGACAGTTTGTTTTACAAACATTTTCTCCATCTTGTGTCTGACTACTTTAGTCAATAGGCTTCATTTTAATCCCAACATTCCTGTGAAGTTATGCATATTTCTTAAAATTTCTCCCATCTCCAACATCAATTAAAGCCATACTACTCAGAGTGTGCTCTTGAATAGCAGCCTCAACACCCAAGAACTTGTTCAAAATACCCATTCTCAAGCTCCACCCCAGACCAACCACAACCTTCTGAGGATGGGACCTAGTTCCTAGTTCCCTTCCTGACTCAAAACTCTTCATACTTTCCCATTGCTCTCAGCACAAATCTAAATTCTTCAGTGTGTCCTGTCTAGAGCATGTGGCTTAGCCTTTTCTCACACTACACCTAGCTCACCCTGCCTTACGTACACTGGTCTTTTGCTAAGCCATTGCACAAAATGTTGGTTCTATCTGGAAGCTTCCCTCCCTTCTTTGCCTAGAAAATTCATCTTTCATATCTCAGCCCAAGCTTCAAATCTCTGGCTTTTTCTAAAAATCCTGACCAGGAAAATACCTTTATTCTAGGCTCTCATAACACCAGTCACCTCTCTGTATCAACTGCTTCATGGTGATTTCATATGCATTTGAGCCAGCTGATTAATTACTCTCCCTACCATGCTGTATTTTCATGAGGCAAGAACTGTGTCTATTGGGTTCCTCATTGTGTCTCTAACACCAAGCACAGTGTCTGACACAGAGTAGACTATGACAAAGAAATGATGAAGGAGTGAACAAATGAAGTGAATTAGGGATCCTCAGAAATTCACTTTTCCTTTCTAGTCTCTTAAGATTCACACCACACAACAGTTAGAGTCTCCCCCCACAGCAGGTCACTTGAGAAAGCAAAGTGACATGCTCATGGCATTTGACCCCTTCATCATCTAAAGTTCAACCCAGATGTCTTCTTTCCATATGCTTCTCTTCTGTGTTACATTCTTAATCATTTTTCTCCTCCTGCCCTTCTCTGAAGTGACTTGATTCTTTCTTATTTTCTCCCTTACATGTTGATTATTCTTTATTCGGTGCAAATTTATAATTTCAGATCCCATTAATAAATAGTGTAAAGTGTAATTGAAGCCAGGCTACTCCAAATACTGATTGTAGTTAGTATTTTTGTTTATGCCTCCAGCTTCTAAATATTGGACCATCTTAGAAAGCAGAGTTGTATGTCAACAAATCTTACATGAGCCTTGCTAGTCAGTCATGGTATTTTTCTTCAGAACCTCTAAAAAGATTTGAAAATGAATGATACATTCCTTCTGCTTCAAAATTACAAATATTCAAATGATATATGCTAAATACACAGTGAGTTTTTCAAGAAATCTTCAAGGATATACACAGATTATATGTTTATTAGTAAATTGAAGTTTTCCTAATACTTCATATATCAAAACCAACATGATGTTTAAGTAGATTTCCTCAAATTCTTTAATATTTAAGGATCCAAGGAGATAATATTTCCATCTGTCAGAATGTACTGGAGCTTCTATTAACAGGAACAACTAATGTCCATGGTCTATTCCCTGTAAAAAGGAGGGGGGGACATTTAACTGGAGAAAATTATGCATTTATTGACTCATCTCTCAAATGTGGAACTGGCTTCAAGGGGAACCAGACTGGAAAAAAAAATGAGTCAGTGCAGACCTGTCACTCTATTTGAAGAAAACAAAAAAACAAAAAGAAACAAGAAAAAAGAAACCTCATGTTCCATCTTCTTCTCATAATATGACTCCATCTTTATACCAACTAATTTCTTTATTCAAAAACACTGTCCTGCCAATGGCCCATGCAAGTATGATTCAATTCATCAAGGTGAAAGACAGACATCTGATTCTCCTGTGTTTGTCAACTTCCAGATGCAAATTCCTTGGGCTCACCTAACTCACCCCAGAATGAGTCCTTAATAATCAGAAACTCAGAGAAAGATGTACAAAAACATAAACTCCTCCTACAAAACAATTAAAAACATAGTAGAAAGAGGACTTTTTTAATGGTCAGGATTTTTGTGCTTTTTTCAGATGATTCTTAGTCAAAATTGCATTATTTTTCTAAGTAAACCTTGCACAGATTGATTTATCATTGGTTAACTACTTTTGCTACCTTTCACTTTACTTTAATGGTAGCATTGCATGTATATGGGAAATATCTGTTTTGGAATGCAGATGGTTCAACTCAATGACTCAATTTAGAATTTTTCAGCTTTGTGATGATGGGAAAGCAACAGACATTCAAAAGTCAGTGATACGTAGTTTGATAGTTTCTCCTGGTGCTGGGCAGTTGCAGTGAGCTGTAACTCTCAGTCACCTACCTGATCATGAGTGTCAACAACCAATACTCTACAGTGGACTGGGTTGCTGGGCATTTTTTGCTTATTATAATTTTATATTATGAAAGGTTCATGGGGATATAATGCCATCATCAGACAAGTACTGCCTGTAAAAATCAGGGCTTATTCTCTTACTGTGTACAACATCCCACTGCCTGGGAAAACTTGTGAGTCACACCCTCACTCTCCTACACATTTGCCCTTTACCCTAATAAATGTACTCACCATCAGGAAATACCCAATAAGCAGGACAGGCATTAAAAGAACAATGAGTAGGTAATCAAAGAAGGTAAATCTTTTCTTCACAGCATAATGCAAGCAGGTTCTCTCTTTCTACAAATTAAGAAAAGGATTCTTTATTTCAAAATTCACATTTTCAGATTTCTATATCAAAAAGTTTAGTTGATGGCTTTTATTTTTAAGGTCCTCATAACACCTCTTTTTGTGGTGTATGTCTGATTAATGAGCTCAGGTTTCTTTTGACAAGAATATTGAACAGTCCAGTCCAAAGGAAAAAATGGGGAAGGACTAATAACAACAGAGATGAATGAACATTTTACAAACCATCAAAGGTTGGATCCTCACACTCATTTTAGTTTTTGAGGGAAAAAGTATACTGAAATTTGAACATAGGACTGAACTTAGTATGAAAAGCTCTGGTTATTCTTTAATCATCTACAGTGGATGATTGTCTATTGTGAGGCTTGTTTATAGGAAAATCTTAACCACAAGGCAATTTCTCTATGGTCCCTCATGCATACAGCCAATGCTTGAAGAATGCAAATAATTTAGTTCTCTAAACATGGCAATATTTATCAGGTGATGGACTTTAGCTTTTCAAAGTAATAGGGATTGTGAATACTCAGGACCTCATAACCAAAAAGGGGTAGAAACATGCACAAATAAATCTAATGCAAAATCAATAAAAAGAAAAGGAAACGAAGGAAGAAAAGAGAGACTAGTTTCCTCTTGAGGGGGACACTGTTCTTCAGTAAGAACATATTGTTTTCTAAATATCAAGGTATTTGTCTTATCTGTAGTTTTTGGAAATTAAACAATAGTGTAATAACAGAATTTAGAATTACCCATTATCGTACAGTCCAGAACTAACTATGACATTTTGTATTTTCTTCAGGTCATTCTAAATGCATAGATGTGGTATTTTAAAATGTAGTACCATATTGTATAGTTAAAATCATAGCTTTCATTTTTTCAGCTTACAGATGCACATTTAGATTGTGTGCAGTTTTAATGATATTCAACATTTTTAAGTATATAATTGAAATGGCTGCATGGCTTTCTGCCAAATGGAGTTACTCAAATTTAATTACCATATCTATTGGACATCCCAAGCTTTCAATTTTCATTTTTATAAAGAATATTGCCTGACATTCTCACTCACAAAACTTTGTCCACAACTCTCAATTTGTCTTAAGCCTAAGTTTCTAAAAGTAGAATTCATGGAACGAAAGGTATTGATGCTTAGATGATAATAATTCAAACTTCCTTGTCAACATTTAATTTTCTTTTCTCATCTTGGTCAGTTGACAGACAAAAAAGGGGAGTAGAGCATGTTTATGTTTTAATTTCCAATCAACTTGCTTTCCATAGACCCAATCAATGTTTTAATGTTTTGTATAGGCATGTGCTTCTGAATTACCAGCAGAGCTTTTGTTTACTTGTTTTTAAGGACTTTGTTTGCTTTAGTACTTTTGGGGTTTTTTTGAAAGTTTTATTTTTTTCTTTATTCATTTATTTATATGTGCATACATTGTTTGGGTTATTTCTCCCTCCTGCCCCTCCCCCCTATACCCTCCGTGTCCCCTACACCCTCCTCGCTTCCAGGCAGAACCTGTTCTGCCCTTTTCTCCAATTTTGTTGAGGATTGTTGAAGAGAAAACATAAGCAATAATAAGAAAGACAAAGCGTTTTTGCTAGTTGAGATAAGGATAGCTATACAGAGAGATTCCTAGCATTGTTTCCATGCACAAGTGAATTACAATACAAATTGATTCATCTCTACCTGACCTCTTCACTACTTCCTGTCACTTTCCCATATTGACCACTTTCATTTTAAGGTTACTGTATTAGCTTCTCTGCAGTGGGGACATCAAACACTTTCAAGTTTTGGGTTTCTTACCTTCCCCTATTCCTCCTGTATGTGTTCTCCCCTTAACATATGACCCAAGTCTAATAATATTACTGCATTTGTTTTAGATCTAAAGTCCGCATATGAGGGAGAACATACAATTTTTGGTTTTCTGAGCCTGGCTAACTTCACTTAAGATGATGTTCTCCAGTTCCATCCATTTACTTGCAAATGCTTCAGTACTTTTAAAAGTAATTCATATACCACCACCAACAGGTGTTGGCGAGGATGCAGGGAAAAAGAAACCCTCTTACACTGTTGGTGGGAATGTAAACTAGTACAACCACTCTGGAAAAAAATTTGGAGGCTACTTAAAAAGCTAGACATTGATCTACCATTTGATCCAGCAATACCACTCTTGGGGATATACCCAAAAGACTGTGACACAGGTTACTCCAGAGGCACCTGCACACTCATGTTTATTGCGGCACTATTCACAATAGCCAAGTTATGGAAACAGCCATGATGCCCCACCACTGATGAATGGATTAAGAAAATGTGGTATCTATACACAATGGAATTTTATGCAGCCATAAAGAAGAATGAAATGTTATCATTCGCTGGTAAATGGATGGAATTGGAGAACATCATTCTGAGTGAGGTTAGCCTGGCCCAAAAGACCAAAAATCGTATGTTCTCTCTCATACGTGGACATTAGATCAAGGGCAAACACAACAATGGGATTGGACTTTGAACACATGATAAAAGCGAGAGCACACAAGGAAGGGGTGAGGATAGGTAAGACACCTAAAAAACTAGCTAGCATTTGTTGCCCTTAACACAGAGAAACTAAAGCAGATACCTTAAAAGCAACTGAGGCCAATAGGAAAAGGGGACCAGGAACTAGAAAAAAGATTAGATCAAAAAGAATTAACCTAGAAGGTAACACCCACGCACAGGAAATCAATGTGAGTCAATGCCCTGTATAGCTATCCTTATCTCAACCAGCAAAAACCCTTGCTCCTTTCTATTATTGCTTGTACTCTCTCTACAACAAAATTAGAAATAAGGGCAAAATAGTTTCGGCTGGGTATTGAGGGGGTGGGGGGAGAGGGAGAGGACAGAGTGGGTGGTAAGGGAGGGGGTGGGAGCAGGGGGGAGAAATGACCCAAGCCTTGTATGCACATATGAATAATAAAAGAAAAATAAAAAAAATTTAAAAAAATAAAAGTAATTCATAAACACACTTACGAAATGTGAAAGTCCTTGGTTCAAATTAGTAATGTACAAAGACTAATATTTGAGAAAATAAAAACATAAAAATGCCATTAAAATATATAAAAGGAGAAAAAGCTGCTTCTGATAAAAATCACTATTAATCCAAAGTATGCACTAAAGTCCTTTTCATGATACCACAGGATCCCCTGGGTCTGGCTCAGGTTTGCCTTTGCAAAGCAGAGGTAAGAGGGCCTACTCAGAATCCTAGCTACTCAGGAGACAGAAAATAGGAGACTCAAGGTTTGAAGCCAGCCCAGGCAAATACTTCATAAGACCCTATCTCAAAAATATCCAACACAAAAACAGGACTGGAGGAATGACTCAAGAGGTAGAGCAAGCATGAGGCTCGAGTTCGAGCCCCAGCCCTGCCAAAAAAAAAAAAGAGTGCCTACCCAGCCCTGTCCCTGACTTATCAAACATTTCCCTCCCTCAGCTTCCTTATGAACAGGCCTCTTGAAAGAGGCCAGGAACCCACAGACTTCCACCAGGGCCCCTTGCCACAACTCTCTACACATCTGGTTCCTCAGCTGCATTTTAGGGAGATCCTGTCACTCTCTACTGAGTTGTTTATTGATTAGATTCAGCACAGGCATGACTTGCTTCTAAACTCAGCTAGGGCTAGAGGTATGACACAGTACAATGTAAAAGAAAAGAAAAATTCCCATCCAAACAGAAAATAAAAAATAGTAAGCATGAGCAAGAAAGTCCAATAGTGATTAACTTTCTGATAACATTAATCTGAATAAATTGGTCTTTGCATTGATTTGGAAGAGGCAAATGGGGCCATGCTGCCTGTTTTTCTCAATGAAGACACATGATCTGGTACAGAATAGTCATAATTATTGCAAAAAATGACTGAATATTTACACAGTCTGTTTGAATGTTGCCTTTATTACAATTCAAATACTAAATGTTTGGAAGAACTGCAAAGATGGTCACAGTAAGATACACGTGTGCTGCTCTTCCTTGAGACTGAACATTCTAAGGCAGCTAATGTGTCTTTAAACACATGCTTTATACTTTCTGTGTTACTTCAAGTAGCCTCTGGTTCATGAGCTCATTTTTCCTCAGCAAATTTCTCAGTAGCATGCTTTCATTCTACAAGTATCCTATAGTTTCCAGGAAAATTTCCCTGTTATTTCTGTAATAGTGAAGAGAAGGAACAGGAGAGGAGGGGAAGGGGATAAAGAGGATAGGGAGGAAAAGAAAGAAACTCCATGCAGCCAAATGATTGAACCATTTTCTTCCTCTACAGAAGCTCAAAGGCAATGTATTAATCACAATACATGCTTGCTGGTTGAACTGTGTTATGTTTTGACTTTTGTCTAATAAAACATCCTTAAAATATGTCAGTCTCTCCAAAGTAAGGCAAATTAGGACTCTTGATATTAGAAGCTAAAGCAATGAGAAAATGCCATTCACCATTTCCAGTAACTCAAGGCAAGAGGAATTATCACAGACAATTACACTCTCCACTCGTGTCACAGCCTCACCTGGTTTTTGAGGTTGACATTGGCATTTCTTTTTAAAAGAAAGGAAACTATCCTCATGTGCCCTCGTCTGCAGGCACAGATGAGGGGAGTGTCTCCATTGAAGCCGTCTTGCACATTGACATATTGGTTGCCTTCTTTTACCCAGCGCCATACCTGGCCCAAGTCATTCTGGTAGGCCGCCTGGCAAATGGGCTGAGTGGAGAAGAACAGAAGCAGTTCTTGAAATACAGGCACAAATAAAGCACAAAAAGAAAAAAATCATTACACAATCTCTGTTGAATTTTTGGGTCTCAACTATGCCTGACCTTAAATATAGAATAAGCGTAAGTCCATGAGAAAGCTACATACATTACTTAAATTGCTAGACACATGGAACTAGACAAATAGTGAGTAGAGGAATGATTGAATAAATGGATGAAATGCTACAAAGCTGACTCATGAAGGAAATTTCACATTGTGATGGTGAACGTATGGGCCTGTCACAAAAGCAGGATTTGGCTAAAGCTAAAATAGGCATGTGGGGAAGAAGGAGCTCAGGGAAGCCCTGGGTGATAAATTGAGACCTGTACGGCCCCCTTTATCCCACAAATTCTAAAGACAAGCTTTAGACTACACAGATGCTATCTATAGAAACCAATTTATAAAGAGCTTTGCAAAGTACTGTGAAGTTTAGTAGCAAGACCTAAGCTCTAGCCTCATCTTTCCAACTTCCCCTCTGTCCCAGTCCTACTGGACTTCAGTTCTTCAAATAATTAACCCATGTTCTGCACCTTGCATCTGGACCTCTGTCCTGCCTGCTGCTTTTGCCTGAAACTTTCCTCATCTTCCTCTGACTCCTAGCTCAACCTTCATGTCATAACTTAATTTCTACTTTACCTAAGAAGTCTTCCTTGACTCCTAGCATTTGGTATTTCTCTTTAACAACCACTGACATAACTTTACTTCTTTTCTTAATTATGTACAGTCATGTGTTCCAAGCTTCTATAAATCAGGAGTAGGTTGAGGCAGCACCGAGAGAGGGAAGACATTGACTCAGCTCTGCATGGATAGAGGCTATATTCATTCTATTCACCGCTATATCTCCAGCATTCAACACAGCACTGAGCACATAGTGGGCAAATGTGAAATATTTTTAGACTGATTTTATGGTGAATATTTTTAAAAAGAACAATAAAATGAGTTGTTTGTTTATATGCAATGCTAAAAACATATATAATAATATCTGCAGATAGTGTTCAATTTGTGGAAGTTATTATTGTTCATTAAGTCATTCTTTGTTTTAATGACTAAGTCAAACCTCTATTGTGAGCACACCCATAGGTATCAGGGACAAAAGAGTATAAAAGATGTCACTCTTATTTTTGTGAAATGTATCCATCTAGTGGGGAAATAGGACACACACATACACACACAAAGCATCTTGCAGCAAGTCAACACGAAATCACAAACCGTTAATTTTGCCAATCAAATGCATTATAAACAATAAATCATTTCACAAAAGATTTTAACATAAATATAAAAATTAAAACAAGGATATTTTAACAAAATATAAAGATATAATCATGAGAGTGGGGCGCAGTCTTTCATATGGAGAGATTTAGCTTTGTGGAAATACTTCAATGTTCTTTTTTGTTGCTGCTGTTCACTATGTGGCCCAGGCTGCTCTCAAATTCAGGGAGTCAAGTGATCCTCCTACCTCCGTCTCCTGAATATCTGGGATTACAGGTGTGCACCACCATGCATAGTTATCCTTTTAATTTTTTCACCTTAACCAGTGAAAATTTAATTATGGAATGATTAGTAGTAATTAGCAATGACTACTAATTATATATTTGGGAATGTATGCTTGTGATGGTTAATCCTAGTTGCCAAATTGACTAGATTGAGACATTCCTAGAAAATTGTTAAGCACACTTCTGAGTGTGTGTGTGAAGGTGTTTCAAGGACATTTGGCCTGTGGGTCAGCAAATTGAAAGGGAAGTACCTGCCCTGAGTGTGGGCAACACCATCGAATAGGCTGGGTGCCCTGGTGGAACAAAAAGTATGAAAAGGGCAAAGCTTTTATGGCTGCTTGGGCTCAACTCTTTTTTAGCAGATGCATTTTTTTGAATGCTGCCATTGCCTGATGACATCACACCCCAAATCCTTCAGCCTTTGAATGTGGATTTACACCAGAAACTCTCCAAAGAATTTCCAGGTCTTCAGTCTTGGACTAGGTCTGCATCATTGGTTCCCCTTATTCTGAGGTTTCCAGCTTCTTTGACTGAGGAGCTATTGGTTTCTTTGGTTCTCCAGGCTGTATCATTGTAGAACTATTCAGCCTTTAATCATGTAAGCCAATTTAATAAATCTCTTTTATAATTAATGATACATTCTATTGGTCATATTCTTCTAGAGAGCCCTGACTAATATGCTGGTCTACCCTGAAGAGCTTGTAAAACATGTGGCCTTAGAGCTATTATCTCTTTGTAAATGTTTAAATTATTTTACATTCTTTTAAAGCTGTATTGGTCTAGCTTTCTATATTCTCTTTAAAAATTTTGATAACACTGGGCCTACATTCTCATGGGACAGTTCTCCATAGTCTCTACCACTGCCTATTACATTACATCTGGTCTATTTTAGTCATCGTGTTACCTGCCTGGCCCTTAACTTCCATGGTCAAGACACCTCTTCTTGGACTCCTTAAAATCTTTACTGAGAATTAACTAAAATGAGGAAGAGGAAAAGATGTAGAGTTGTCCTGAGAGAGTCACTTGGTGTTTTTGAGGGCTTTCTTAGGCTTCCTATATCCTACAGACAGTTACTGTGTTTGAAAAGTAAAGTTTTGGGGAAAGCTCAGTACTAGAGATGTGTTGAGCATATACAAAGCTCTGAGTTCAGCAAATAAATAAATAGTCAAGCTGGCTCCGTCGAGACACACAAGTCATTTGATCCATGAGTTGCACAAATAGGTGAAGACTCTATGCTGCTATGAACTCTGTTTCCAGTAGGGGGCAGCTCAATGTTAGAAAAGCTTTGACAGCAGACAGAAGGGACGTCCAACAGAAAAGTGCTGGTGGCTTAGAAGTATGTTCTTATGCGTTACAGCACAGAAATACTACAGCAATGTATTATGTATCTTACCAGTAACTAGAAGAGAGGAGTGTAAAGGTTCCCAACATGAAAAAATGACAAATATTTAAGGAGATGGAAATACTAATTAACCTGATTTAGTCATTACACTTTGGATTCATGTATTGAACTATATCACTGTACCACAAGTACTATGTCAATTAAGAAATGTGAAATACCCCAGTGTCGCCAAAAAAAAGTATGAAATAGCCAGGTGTGGTGGTCCACACCTGTAATCTAGGCACTCCAGAGGTGGAGGGAGAAGGATGGCAAGTTGGAGGCCAACCTGAGCTATGTAGTGAGATTCTGTCACAAAGTAGCTAATTAATTAATAATAATAAATTAATTAAAACTTTAAATTAAAACAAAAAGAAAAGTGCTGATGTACAAGCTTGAAACGCAAAAGAGGAGGGAGATGTCCATTTGGGCTGAAGCTGCTATGAATCTCTCTCTCTCTTAGTCTCTGAAATTCCTGAAACTTTGAGGCACCTTGGATGTAGAGGAAACACACCTGGGAGATTACCTGGAAAATTCTATCCTCTAACGCTCTCAGCACCAACCATCTCACTATCTTCACTGCTGACATTCTGCTTTAGAGCTTCCTTATTCTCATGAGAACAACTGTAAAACTGTCATAACTGGCCTCACCTCTCCCTGTCTCACCTATCCATACTTCAAGCCATCCTCTTAACACAGCAGCTACATGTCGCTTTCCTTCTGAAAACCTTCCTCAGTGACCAAGTGGATCAGCATGCTGTCCTTAAGTAGACACATATGCTTGTTAATTCTCACACCTCCTTTCTTTCCTACTATATCTTTACCACTCCTTTATCCACACCCTCAAGCCAAGTAAATAAAGATAGGCGTATTTGCTATGGTTTGAATGTGTTCCCTAAAGTCCATGTGTTAGAAAGTTGATGCCTGATGGAGTAGTAATGAGTGATAGGGCCTAATCAGAGGTATTTGGGTCATTAGGACACCACCCTCATAAATAGATCAAGGTTGTTATCTCAGAAATGGGTTCATTATCACAGGAGTGGGGTCTTTCTAAAAGGATAAGTTTGGCTCTCTCTCTCTCTCTCTCTCTCTCTCTCTCTCTCTCTCACACACACACACACACACACACACACACACACACACATGCACACACTTTTTTGTTTACCCTTCTGCCATGAAATGATGTAGCAAAAAATATCCTTACCAGATGCTGACCCTTCAGTCTTAGATATCCCAGTCTCCAAAACTACCAGTTATTAAATTTCTATTCTTTGTACCTTACCCAGTCTGTGATGTTCTGTCATAGCAACTGAAAACTGACTTTCTGTGCTGTCAATAGCCATCTCTCTAACTAGACTGCAAGGTTCATGAGGGCCAGTATTGTGTGTGTACTGATTCAATATTGCATCCCTAGCACTCAGCATAGTGCCTGGCACATAGTAGGCATTCAATACACTCTTGGTAAGGAAATAAATGAATGAATAACTTCTAGAAGGAACTAATTTAATCTTCACAACCACCTTAAGTGGTATTATTATACTCAACGTGCTCAGACAGAATTAAGAGAGATTATCTTATTACCCAAAGTCATACAGCTCATTACTGACAGGACCAGGGACCAAATACAGGAGAATTACTGCAGAAAGCATATATTTGGCCTCTAATTATTTTAGTCTTCAAAATGTCTTCTAACTATAAGATTTTGCTTTTGAGATTTGCACCCAATAGTAAGCTACAGGATATGATCAGTCCTCTCCTAGCACTGGTCTTCTGGTGCTTGTTACATATCCAGATGCTTTTCCAAAGCTGAACTAGAATTAGCAGTAACTTTCAAGAGGTCAAAAGAAGTGTTGGGCAATGGTGGTACATGCCTGTAATTAAGAAGCTGAGGCAGGAGGATTGTTTAAGAGAGTCTGAGGTCAGCCTAGTCTACAAAGTGAATTTGAGGACAGCTTGGGCTACAAAGATAGACTCTGTCTTAAGAAAGAGAAAAAATAGTAGGGAAAATTTCATGAAAAAAGAAAGATTTGATGTGATTACTAATCAACAGTTTTCACGCAGTGAAAGGACAAAGGAGAATA